CCCTGAGATCCCTCCGCCTGAGGGATGCGCTCTCTTTGGGGGTTGTCTGGAGTCAGCACAGCCGCCTCGCCACCTTTGCATTCCCCCCGTCCTCCCAGAACTTGCTTCCACGGCTAGGAAAGAAACAGCAACTATTTCTAATTTCTATCCTAGGTGTATTTTCTTCCATCTAGGATCTGATTGTTTAATTTCCTTGAATACGCTAGAAACTGGCACTGAGGCAAAGAAGGGACCTGAATATTTTCTCATAAAATCACAAAACCCAGACGTAAGTAGGCGAGCATTAAATTACATCCTGTGGCCTAGTGCCCCGCCGGTCGGCAAGCCCGGAGTCGGATGCAGCGCTCATTGCTACCTCATGTAGGACTCCCAGCCGCCTGCTCCTGACAGCCAGAGCTTGCCTAGGTGGCGCTCGCTGGATGCCTTCGGCAGAGGTGAAGGGACAGGTACCCACCCAGCAGGAGAGACAACTCAGGAGGCTATCACGCCCCGGCCGCTGCGGGAACGTCTGGTGTGTGAAAGAGGCTTATTTTCTGCGGTCCCAAGAGTAGGCGTGGAGTCAATGGGCAGAAGGTACAGGCAGGATGTCTCTAAGCTCCCCAGCCACTGGCATGGTGACACGGGGAGAGAGCGAGGCGCTGCCTCTGAGGTCCAGCGTTCCCCGACTTCTCAGGCGGCTCCCGCACAGGCCAGGTGCTCCTGCGGTGCTGCAGTTGGCTTCTACCACGCTCCGCTGTGTGCTCTTGAGTCCAGGGCTAGCGTGATGTGGGGTCACAAAAGGACCCAGCACAGGGATTAAGACACCTGGAGCCTGCAGGACACTCACCTTTGGGACCTGGCCACCCTGTGGTGAAGAAGCAAAGCCACGTGACAAGCCACGTGCGGGAGTCCTGACGGGTGCGCCTTTCCGCAGACACGGCTGGAGGGGGCCTGGAGCCGATCCAAGCACTGCAGCTGCTGTAATGCAGAAGAGGAGCTTGCTTTCCTGCAACTAGAAGATCCCGTCTGGAGGTACGGGACACGGTGACACCAGAGTGTGTGGCCTGTGTCTGGTCCATTCTATCATCCTATTTGATTGCTCTTGCTGCAGAAAATGCTGCTCACAAGTTTAGGGTGTTGGGAAAGTAAGCAGGCTTTTCAGGTCTTCTGGGGCAAACTCAGCATATTTTGTTTGGACTTTAATCCAAAATATATGGAAATCTGAGGCGTCTCAGACATACTTTGAAGCCTACCATCACGTGCCGTCTCAAGCAGCTAATCCTCTTCTAGCACAAAGTCAGTCCGCCTTGCTTACTCACAAATGAGTCCCAGGCCCACGGATCTACCGTGGCTGGAAAGCAACACTGGGGCTGTCTGAGTGCCGAAACAGTAGTGACCTGTCAGCTGGGAGAAAGCGAGCCCTGGCTCAGTGTCTTTCAGCGACTCTGCGAGTGTTTGAGATGCGCCAAGGAGCCCGGTGCCCACCTCTTGCCCCCGTAACTTCAGCTGCGTCTCCAAGGCAGCCTCACCACATGCCCACCTGAGCCCAGCTGTTCTCCCCTGAAGTGGCACAGCTGGTGCAGCGACCGAGGGCGTCACACGAGTGAGCGCGCTTGGCAGCTGACTCTGCCATGGCAATGTGCGGCCGGTGGGACTTTTTCTAGAAGGAATCTCCTGAGTGGCTCTGCCAGCCAGGAGCCTCTAGGCGGTACTCGGCTCTGGAAAGCCAGCCTCCTCCTGCGTATGGTAAGAGGTGTGTGTGCTCCGGCATGCACAAGGTGAGGGTGTGTGCTTGAACGTCGCTGGCAACTTGAATCACATCCTTCAGAGCGTTCGGTCAGGGTGACACGTTCCAGCCAGTCCGTATGTGTCTATGGATGACACTGCAAAGCAATGACATTCACAGGAGACCTTTTTGACCTGAGAAGTGGGAGCAGAAAGCTGTCTGGACGTGGCAGCTGCCCTGTTTGAGAGATAATGACCAATTCAGGTTTTTGGTACGAAGAGCAGAGGTGCTGGCTGGCACAGCCTCACACGCCCTCGTGAACAACGCGCCACACACAAGCGTTGCTCTCAGCGCTGGTGGACGCCCAGCGTGGACCCTGGACCCTGGCGCCTTCTCAGTCCTCTCACGAAGATGCCTCCAAAGCCTCGGCGCTTTCACCAGCTCACCTGCTGCGGTGGTGGCCAGAGAAGAGCGAACCCCACCTTGCAACTGCAGCCTCCCTGGAAGTTCACCCACGATGCGCCCTGCAGTGGGCAGGACCAGCGCCACCTCTGAGGAGCTTCCTAGCTGGAGTGCCGTGGCAGCCACCAAGGAGGGTGCTGTTGGCGCAGGCTCATTGGCTGAGGGGTCTTCAGCAATTGCTCCTGTTCATTTTTTGTGTGTTTGGAAAAAACAAAAAGATGTGTCTCTTAACGCAAGTGCTTAGTTTCCTTGTGGCCAAGTAGTTCTGAAGGCCTACCACGCTTTGTGGGACGGCCAGTCGCCACACAGTGTGCACAGTGGGCTCAGAGAATGTGTTTTCTGCTGCAGTGATCCCATGATTTAGGTAGACTCTCGGCAATTTTTTCACTGCAGTTTTCTTTTTGCTGGCTTGTCTCATCAGTGGCTCTGTCCTGCTTTTTCTTTATCCTCCTGCCTCAACCTCCTGAGTGCTGGGATTACCTGGCCTCACCAACAGATTTCAACCCCATTCCTGCTACTCATGTGCTCATGGAGAAAGCCCGTGTATGTGTTGTGGCTTGTGTCTAGGTGGCCCCAAGGCCTCGTGCAGTCCTGGGGCGGCTCCTGGAGTGTGTGACTGATTATTGAGGGTGTGGGTGCTGCACCCACCATGGGCAGGGAGTCTGCGTTATGCTGTGAGGAGGGGAGAGAGGCTGCCTGCTGCTGCCCCTCCCTTTGCTCTCTGCTCTTCCACCACTGCCACCAGGACCGGTTGTCCTCTACCATGTGCCCCTCTCCCTTGGAGCCAGCTGTGTATGGACTAAAACCTCCATTAACTGCAAGCTAAATAAACCTTTGCTTCCTTCCCGAGCCCACTTCTGCCTTCCTTCTTCCCACAATGAGAAAAGAGTAACAAAGACAGTATATACAAATACATTAGGTATTATAATATAATTATGTTTTAATGTTGCATCATTTTTTAACTTTATTACAATCTGGGGATTCTTCCTCTTTGTTACACACAGATCTCCCTCATTGTTTTTTTTAAAAAATGTATTTAGTACAAGGTCTACAGGTTCTCACTACACAGATTGAACTCCCAGTGATACTCCTCTTTTCAGCCTCCCAAGCACTAGAATTACAGGTGCTTGGCATCATGCCCAGTCTCAACTGCAATCTCAGTGCACCCTGGGGGCAGGGCCAGCATGGCACATCAGGGATCAAACCCGGGTCCCTGCATCTGCCTAAGAAGATGCCTTAATCCACTGAGCTACCTGGCCAGTCCTTCCCTCATTCTGTTTTGTAGCTATCTAGTGATTTACTGGACATGCCATAATGTATTTATTCCAAATCTTTCTGAATATCGGCTCCATGGTCCAAAATACCCTCTGCCTGTGAAAGACTACAGAAGACTCACCCCATACGGCATTGCTCGATGTGTGCAGAGCATGGACTCTGAGTACAATGCTGTGTTGCGGCTGCAGGGAAGACAGGACTCTGAGCTGGGCAGCCACCACTCGAGAGGAAAGGTCACAGGGGTTAGGAGGCCCTGGTTGCCAGGTGCATCTGCGACAGTTTTCCTTCATTTTCGTGAACATCAGAAGTGTTTCCCACACATGCTACTAGGGTCCCCTCAGAGTACTAGATGTGGACATGATGTGGTTGGTCTGGTTTGGCACTGCAGCCCCCAATGCAATGACCCCAAACTCCAATGCCTGTGAGAGCCACAAGGGTGACCTAAGTGAGTGAAGCTGGGGAGACCCCACCTCTGCTCAAAGGGAGAAGCCAACTGCTATTCTGTGCCAGAAGATCAGGGGTCGGGGAGGGCCACCAGATCTTCTGGTGGAGTAACAGGATCAATAGGCAAAAGACATGGGGTCTTTCTGCGTGTTGTTTCTTACACTGTCATGTGAAGCTACAATCCTCTTAGTGTAAAAGGCTTAACTTAGAGAAGCCAGAGGTCTAGATCATTGTGTGAAACACATGAGTTGCAAATGTAAACGTCATCACATTGTGCAGGCCCAGCAAAACTCATGTGTGGGCCGGATGCAGGCGTGGGCCTGCCATCTCCCTCTCTGCAGGCTGGACACAGGCGTGGGCCTGCCTTCTCCCTCTCTGCAGACCGGACACAGGCGTGGGCCTGCCATCTCCCTCTCTGCAGACTGGACACAGGCGTGGGCCTGCCATCTCCCTCTCTGCAGGCTGGACAC